TTGTAAAGGTAAACGTCCTAAAGATATTGAAAATATTCCAAAATGCTATATAAGTTTAATGAAAAATTGTTGGAATGAGAATCCATTAAAAAGGCCAACTGCATTAGAAATTAAAAATATTATTGAAAGTTGGTATAATAATATTAAAAATATAAATTTTGATAAAAAATTAAAATATGAAATTATTGATTTTTATAAAGCAGATAAGGCATTAGAACAAATACAACATAATAATATTATTAATGATAAAATTAATGTTAAATCACATCCACAAGCATATTATACTAGTCAGTTACTTAATTTTACTGAAAAATTAAATGATATATTAGATTTAGAAATTAGTCAAAATATTGGTAATTATTATATTATATTAAATTTATAAAATATATAAATATTAATATTAATATATTTATTTAATTTAATAGAAGCCTTGAGTTTAAATAAGTAATTTAAATTAAGTATTAAATTATTTTTATAAATAGGTAAAAACTATTTGTTTTATTTATATTTATAAATATTTATTTAGTAACACAATATATAGAATATTTTTTATCAAAAATATAGTTTGTAATTATTAAATAAAATTTATATGTAATTAAAAATAATTTAATATACTGTATATTATAATTTATTAATTGTAAAAAGTTTAATATTATTTATTATAAAATTAATATAAAGAGTCTTCAAAAGTTTATGTATATGATTATAACTGTTGTTACGTCCGATTTGTAACTCAAATAAAATTTACAAAAATTAATAATGCTAAGACTAAACTCAGGGAATTACAACGAAGTTTTGTAGCAAATGTCAAAGATTATTCTTAATTACACATGAGTAACTTCTGGATATTTCAGAGATTACATTTCAGTGACTACATCTTAAGTCAATATAACGAATTAATACAATACCACGCAAAGTTAATAAACAATAATAATATATACACAGGTTAAAAGGATTGCAAAGGATAAGTTTTAACTTTATTAATTATACTCTTTATTAATTATAATAAATTGTAAGTTCTTTATCTCGTAAGGTTATAAGGTAATAATGTTATCCAGTAAAATATTATCCTTACTCTTTCTTAAGGTATGTATTAATTGATGATTTATTCATTGGTATTTTTTTTCAATAAAAATATAAAGGTATTTATACATGTTTGATAATTATAAATGAACTAAACTAAATAC